TAGCCAACGCTTCACTTTATCTTTCTACTTTTGCTTTTTACTTCTCTTTCTTCCACCAACTTCCAGTTTCCCTTCCTTCTTACAGCTTTCGTCCCTTCGAACCCATCATTATTGGCCCATCTTGGTTGAAAATTTTTCTAAGTGACAGGTTCTGTGCTTCACCTCCTCACAAGGATATATGGGCTTCTATTCTGATCCCTAGAGAGTTATTCATTGGGACTATGAACCCCAGAGCCTACAAATGCATTGCTGAGTCCTATTGTCCTGCTTAATTTGCTAGACAATTTGGCTTCTCACAAGGGGTCCCAATACCTCTCTGCAATAACACCAATTTAAGTCTCACCAGCAGGGATCTAAAGGTTCGAAGGTCTAGACTAGAAGAAGCAACTTCTAAGTTTATACAGGACTTGATTGAGTTTGAGTATGTCCCTTTTATTCCTTAAGGCAACCTACTCAAAAGGTGCCAAAACTGGTGGGTGACCAATATGGAGGTATACTTGGCCATTCCTCCTCAAGACTATTAATGGTGTTGGATGTGCTCCAATCCAAACCCAAAGGAGCTGGAGTTGTCACTTCTTCCACTACTCTTACCACTTTAGTTTCTGTGCCTGCCACCACACAGTCTACTCCTGCTACCTCAACTCCTCCTAGAGTTACTCGGGCTGCCTCGAAGAAAGGTATATACCCTTGTTTCTTCTTTTTTTGCCTTCTTTATAATGCTTTTCAGTCTTATCTTTAGTTTTTCTTTTTGTGAAGGTGGTGCGAGTGCTTCACAGGGAGATTCTCCTCAGAAGACCCAAGCTTTAAATCTTTTCAGGAGCAAACAGCAAAAAAAGAAAAGGAAACTTTTACTTGATCCTAAAAAGGAAGCACCTGAAGTTCAATCAACAGAAGAAGAAGAAGCAGATCAAGAGCAAGAGACACCCTTACAAAGAAGAAAGAGAGTGACTGTCTCTTCTTTTGGTTTGGTTGAAGATCCCACTCATGAGACAATTGCCAGAGTAGTAGAAGAGGAACTCACTTCTGAGGAACCTGAATTCCAGAACGAAGAGAGAGAAATTGAGAAGGAGTAGGCAATACCAATACAGAGAAAAAAGAGAAGGAAAATGACTGTCTCTCCTTCTGATTTGGTCGAAGACCCTATTCATGAGACAGCTGCCAAGGCAGTAGAGCAGGAACATTCTAAGGCCATAATTGTTTTTCAAAGAGCTGAAAAAAGGCGGCAACAACAACTGTTAAGAGATGAAGGTTCTAATGCTGCTGCAATCCAAAGAGAAACTGCAAGGAGGCAGCATATTGCTGAGCACTATTCCCTTCGCAGCTCTCCTATTGTTGTTACAACTTCTGAAACAAGTAACTTTTTTCATGTCTCTATTCTTTTTCCTTGTCAAATTCTTGGTATTAAGACTTGACATTGCTTTGTACTTCTTTTGCAGCAACAACTACTGAGCCTATTCTTCCAATAAGGACTCCCTCAATTTCAGTCGAAGTAGAGCAACCTCAAGATGTGGAGACCATTCAAATAATTCTTCCACTTTCAGGCCCTATATTTTCTATACCCTTCCTAAGGCCAAGTATTCCTACTCCTTTTCCTTTCGGCTTAACTTCATATCTCCCTTATTTGTCATTTGATTTTTCTTAATTTGGTTCTCTTTCGAGCCTTACTTTTCCTTCCCCTCATAAGGAAACTCCAGCTGCTACTTCCTCTTTGATGGTAGCTGATTCTTCTATAGAGGGTACTAGTAGCCCTTCAACTCATGGTTTATCACCTCTACCTAGTTCCAGCCCCTCTTCCCTCGACTTATTGGTAGCTAGAACTATAGAGACTGCTGAAGATACTCCACTCATTTCTCCTATTCTTATGCAGTCCTTCGTGCCTTCCACCAAAGCTCTTTCTGCACCTTTCATGTCCACGGACGAGGTAGACATCTTCAAAGCAAGACTAGCTAGTCTCTTCGACATGCTTTCCACCTCTCCAATGGCTAGTGATGAGACTGAGCCATTAGTTTTGGCTGAGTCTCTACTAGAAATCTTTGAGAGCTCTTCCTCCAGTAGTAAGCCTTCTTCACCTCTGATGGACTTGGACAGCTGTCTGGAGCTGTTGACATCTTTTTCGAGGATTCCTTTCGAGGCCTTAGAGAGAGCTATAATAAGAAATGGCTTCCTTTAGTGCTGTAGAATTGTTGAGCAATCCGGCATGACTGTCTCAAGTCATTTATCTCAAACGGCAGCCACCATCAACTTTTGCATCAACATTTGCCATGCTGCCAAGGCTGTAGAGGAGAAATTAGTGAGAGACTAGAGCTTTGTTTCCAAAGTACATACTGAAGTATCAGAGCTAAAGGAATAACATTCCTCTGTCTCCCAATTTCGAACTCAACTACTGAAAAAGAAAGCTCAACTTGAGAAGGAGCTATCTGCAATTAATCAGGCCTTAGTCCGAACTGACACCAAGTTGCTAATTACCAATCAAGGACTGGCCGATCGAAAGCAAGAAATGACCACAGCCATCCAGTTGTTTTCATCGTTTAAGAATAGAACATCTATTGTAAAAGAACAACTAAGGCATTGTACCGACTTCTAGGCCAATTTATGGCAAAATGTATTCAACTCTTTATGAAAAGCAAATTCTTATTTATCATTTGAATATTCTTATATTCTTTAACTTAGAATTTATTCTATTCCTTGTGTTTCCCAAATGGTTGGAAAATAAGGCTTCAAATATCTGCCATTAATCTTTTTAGGATGTACATACCCATTTAAATTTCTCAAATGGTATGTTCCAAAGGACAAGACTCTATGAACTTGATATGGTCCTTCCCAATTAGGTGACCATTTGCCAAACTTATGGCTTTTAATTCCTATTGGGAGTATTGTCTTCCATACCAAATCACCTTCATCAAAGCCAATATGTTTGACTTTCTTATTATAATTTTTGGTTGTTTTCTTCTTTTGGAAAAGAATGCTATTCAATGCCAGAATTCTAGCTTCATCTACACTTTCTAACTCTAAGCACATACTCTGATGGTATTGCTCAGGATTTAACTGATCCTGGCATCTCACCCTCAAGGATTTAACATTAATTTCTACAGGCAGCACTGCATCATGTCCATACACTAAGGCATATGGAGTGATTCCTGTACTTGATCTTGGTGAAGTCCTATAAGCCCACAATACATCCAATAACAAGTTATGCCAACCCCTGGGATTATCTTCCACAACTTTCTGAATTCTTTTTTTCAAAGACTTATTGGATGATTCAGCTTGACCATTGGATTGTGCATAGTAGGGTGTAGAATTAACATGACTAATCCCAAACTCTGCCACAAAAGACTTTACCATTTTCCTATCGAATACAGTCCCATTATCAATAGTTATAGTTTGTGGGATGCCAAATCTATGGATTAAATCCTTAATGAATCCAATGACTTTAGTCTGGTCTACAGCCTTGTATGGTTTAGCTTTGACCTACTTAATGAAGTAATCGCCACTAAGATGAAACAATGATGCTTCGAAGAGGGTGGGTGTATTTTCGCCATCATATCCATAGCCCATCCTCTAAATGGCCAAGGTTTCACAACTGCATGCAGGTCAGTTATGGGCACGTGCCTTATTGTGCCATGCTTTTGGCATGCCTGGCAACTTCTTGCATATTCTATGCAGTCTTTAAGGATAGTTGGCCAATAGTAGGAATGCCTTCGAAACAACCATCTCATCCTCACACCAGGCTGATGAACACCATAGATGCCTTCATGAACCTCAGCCATAGCCGTTAATGCTTTATTTGGGCCTAAACATTCCAACAATAACTCATCTCCCCCTCTTTTGTAGAGAGAATTGCTATACATTATGCATTGCATAGACTGCAATTTAATTTTTCTGCTAGCTTTCAAAGATGGGCCAGCTAGATACTGCATTATTGGATGCCTCCAATCTTGCTCTTGTAAGTCATTATGATTGACTTCTAGGACCACATTCTTTTTACTCAAGGGTAGTACTACTTTCTAATATGTTGTTTGGCTTATATCCCTTCCAGTATTTTCCCTTCTCTTGAAATTTGAACCTTTCTGAGCCACATCATTAACTTTATTATTCAAGAATCTTGACTTAGAAAATATGAGGAAGAAGAACTCCGAAAATATGAGGAAGAAGGAATATATTTCTGTTATATTCAAAACTTCTTATCTTACAAGACCAAATGACACTCCTTATATAGGAGATATTACAAACATCATTATAACCCATTATATGCCACTTACATATTATATATTACCACTATCTACCACTATCATATTATATACATGCCACTATCTGCCACCAACACCACTATCATATTCTAGACATGCCACTATCTTATTATATACATGCCACTATCTTATTATATACATTAACACAAATTTCCAGCACTCCCCCTCAAGCTGGTTTGAAGATATCTTCCATAGCCAGCTTGCTAGTCAGCTTATCAAATTGCTTCTTGTGTAGTCACTTCGTTAGCACATCAGCTAATTGTTCACCTGTTGGAAGGTAGGTCATACAGATTATGCCAGCATTGATTTTCTCCTTGATGAAATGTTTATCCACTTCTATATGTTTTGTGCGATCATGTAGAACTGGATTATGAGCTATAGATATAGCTGCTTTGTTGTCACAATAGACCTTCATAGGTGTCGGGTGAGAAAGCTTTAATTCTTCAAGAATTCTTTTAATCCACATTACTTCACAGATTCCATAGGCAACAGCTCTGAACTCTGCTTCTGCACTACTTCGAGCTACCACATTCTGTTTTTTACTCCGCCATGTAACTAGGTTCCCACCTACAAAGGAGCAGTATCCGGATGTTGATCTCCTGTCTGTAACACTTCCTGCCCAGTCTGCATCTGTGTATACTTCACCTTGAAGATGTCCATGTTTCTTGAACAGTAAGCCTCTCCCTGGAGTTCCTTTCAAATATCTTAAGATCTTATAAACGGCCTCAAAGTGCTCTGCCACTGGTGATACCACTGAGTAATTATCCAAGGTTGGAGTCTGTCCCAAATTTTGTTCCATTTTGATGTTATGTAATAAGATGAGAAAAATAACAAGCTAAAACAATAGTTATAATTTGAAAAGGGTCAACTGTATCTCAATACTTATAATTTATGAGAAAGAAGACGGATATTGTGGAAAAATGAAGGTGTGGTGAACGAAACCCAAAACAGAAAAGGTAGTACTTCGAAGGAAAGTACAATAACAATAAAAAGGCTTAACATGATACATTAAAAAAACTATTGCCACTAATATACTTTATAAAAATTTATTGTCACTAGTAAAGAAATCAACATGAGTTCCTTCACACAAATAACTCATCTATCATGTATGACACCCAAAAAACTATTAAAATTTAAATAAAAAATAATAACAAATTTCAATGGAGAGGAAATAAAAGACTATTACCTCTTGGAATGAAGGCAAGTTCTTTGAACAACATACTTTATCAGGATATAGGAATGGATCTGTAAATGAAACAAATTTTATTAAAATTAGAAGCTTAGCAAATGCCCACAAAAAATAAGAGAAATTCAGGCCTTGTTTGGTTTAACCTCTGTCCTAACTTCTCACTTTCATTGATATATATTGGCAAGTCACAAACTCTGGTGTATAACATTTCCCAATCAGCAATCTGTAGAAAATACAATCAAAGTTTAGAACAAAATTGACCAAACAGAACAAAAAGGAAAAAATAATAATAATAAATAAAATAGTGACCAAATAATCTTTTCTAATTAGCCAAAAAAACTAGTTCCTCATAATTAGAAAAAACAAGTTAAAAAAAAAAAAAGCATCAAGTGTGAGAAATTATTTACAGAAACTTTTGAGCACATTGAAAGGATGGAATTAATTTCCTGGCTCAAAGCTCTAGCTTCATTTTCGTAATCCTATACACAAAAAATTAAATAGCTGTAAGAGTCAGATTTGTAAACAAAACACATGCACATCAGAAACAAAAACCACATCTCATATTGCACTTTTAATTTAAGAAGTGCAGGCTCATTACAAGGCACTAGATTAAAGCCAAGTAAATTGTCAACATGCTCCCACAGCACTTTTCTGTATCACAGCTGCGATGATATGACTATTTTTCCACTTCAGAAAGACAATCTCTAACACCTTTAGCCAATTTTGAGAGTCAACCAAGTTCTTTGTCACGTCTCGCACATATATCAACAAGTGGACGAATATAAATTATTCAGGCACAATAACTACTAAGAACATGCCCAGGAGTTACATGAAAGACTTGAACCCCACCAGATCCATTTTTGAACCAGCCCAAAGAAATTGCTCGGCTTCCTTTAATGCCTTAATATAACCTTTCCTAGAATATGGAATTTGAAGAATCTTACAAGAGCTTAGAAGCCATTCTTCCGCAAGTTAGGCAAGAGAGACATGACCAACTTTTACCTACAAATTGCAGTCATGGCACACAATAATTATGCAACAACTCTCACTAATAAAATAGTTGATTTCAAAAAGAACGTATTGTTTTTTCTAGAGAATTTAGATTGTCATTCTCCTCCAAAAAAGAAAAAGTTAGAAAAAAAAACAATAAGATTCTTAAGAGAAAATTTGTCTAGGAGTGTCTCTATGTCGCATTCAAATATCAAGTGGATTGGTAGAATCAATCATTTGGAGCAATATCTCCTGAGGAAAGAATAAATAATGATATTTAATGCTTGTCTCTATATCACATTGAAACATCAAATAATACCAAATGAATATTTTAGAACAAAATCAGACAAGGAACAATTAAGAATGTTTAATTTGTCCTGATAGAACGATAGTGCGATACGAAAATCTAGCAGTAAATGTACCAATAAATACAATGTCTAGTGCAATAAGGTTTACTACTTATAGTCATGCAATGTAGGTATCTTAAACAATTTATATTATTCATTCTTTTTTGAGATTTATATTTATAATTTACAAACTAAATAATATGGCCTATAAATCAAAATATTTGAAGCATGAACTGTCCTAGGATGACTTTGGACAAGAAGGTCATGGTCGCACAAAGCCTTATTAGAGTAGATC